AACATGGCTCATTTATCTCATACCAGCGCAGAATACGACGCAAGTCAATGCGAGATTGCTGACTTCGCCTGTTTATTGGGTATTTCGTCAGGCCTCCACGATACGAATCATCAACAGCAATACTGCTTCATGAAGTGAGTGGATGAATTTGAGATCATACATCAAGTTGGAGATTGTCTACTTCGTCAGTTAGTCGATCTCTGACGTAGTGGTCACTTATATTGGAAGTACTATAACGTTAGGATGTTTACAATTCACCTGATCTCCTGCTCATGACACCACCAACTGATCCTAAGCTTTATTCACTGCGATATTCGGATTTTATCCAATCCAATTGCATTTATTTGATTTTATTCCAGATATGTATTAATATCCATTTGACATCGAAATCACTGATAAAGACCTCAGTAATTGAACACGAGGGCTATTGGATCGTTTGTTGCTGTCGCAAACTGTCAATTGGCAATAAAGGACATACATGAAGGAAAAACTACATGTTAATACTTCGTACATGACCCCTAAAGCTGCTACGCAGCAATGCAACGCAATTTCATCAACACCACAAACTTCAGTAGCCGGTCGGAGTCGATGGCATTCCACGGACACAATTTTTCGTGTTAGAGTATTGGATTGTGAAAATACCGTCGGGGGGGGGTTGGCATGGGCAAAGGGCAGGAGTGAGTCGGCCACAGTACAACAATAGGCGTAATCTGTGTTTAGTCGGCCATACAGAAACTCAACGTCGGTCAAACCGTTGATTAAAAACCAGTCGATTTCGTGACGCTGCCCCGCCGTTTTGACGGCTCAAACACGCCGTTCGTCCTTTTGAAGGTTGTGCCAGTAGTACTGAAGGCCGTCTGGCCCGTCTACCGTATTTGGCTTATTCCTGCACCCCCGAAAATGTTGGCCAAAATGCCATATGGTAGGTGCAGAACAACGACAAAAGTCAGTTTGGCCACTGACGATGAAGCGGTGCTTGATTGGATAAAATTGCAACATGATTTGAAATTTTGATTGCCTTCCCGCTTTGACGAGTTCAAAATTGCCATGCCACGCAGCCAACGCTCAGTCAGGAAGTCTGTATCGGT